CAAATGAACGCACCCCCCCTTGCCCCCTTGCCCCACCCCCTCTCTACCTTGCCAGGTGTGGCGAAACATCTGCCACGGGTCTGACTCGGTAGAGAACGCGGACAAGGAGATCGCTCTGTGGTTCGGGGAAGCGGAGGTAGTGGACCACGAGTCCGCCATGCAGGACTGGATCTACGAGTAGGATATCGATTGGTTGAGGATCTCCGGCCTGTTGAATAGACAGATAGATGATGAGTTGCGGGCGAATGAGGGAGTCATCTCAGACATGTGTCGGTTCAAGGTTCCATTTATCGATTTCTCTCTAGATCCACCATTAGAGCAATTTTTGTTTTTGGGTGAATAGGGTCAGGGTTAGGGTTATTAGCCCGATAATCTCCAAAATCATGCCACGGACTTTAGGTCCAAACTACAAGTTGGTTGGGATTTGTTTCGGGGCTGAACACTCGCCGCGCAGATGGATGCTGACCTTATGTTTACAACTATCTCCTTTGACCCCCACGGCTAACGTGCGACTCATGTCCGTTGTTTAGTCCTCAGTCCCGAGTCATTTTTAGTTTTTTTGTGTTGTCCTCTCGAACACGCCCAAAGATAGCAGAGAACGCATGCCGTGCGGGGGGAGGCAAGGTGGGGTGCACACGCACGTGTTGTTTGCTCCCTTTTTGCACCGGGGGTGCAGCGTTTGTTTCATCTGGCGTGTGTTATAGTGTTGTATGCAGAAGAGACGGAACTCTCACCAGGACACCAGACAGGCAGCGTTAGTAGATGCTCCACCCCCCACACGCGGGCGTGTGCTCCAACTGCTTGCGGGTTGGTAGATACTCGATTATCGGATCTTTCGGCCCACAAATAGTTGGCGGTTCCAGCCCGTATCTAAGACTCCCATGTACTATTTAGGGTTTGTTTTTTGGCTACCAGGCGGCACATTGGCAAAGGCCGTCGTTGTTGATGTGGTTAACTTTGTTTCTTCCGATGCGCCTCTCGTGATTCGATTTTGTGATGCGGATGGTATGGGTCGGGCGCACGAACAACTCAGCAACACGCGTTTTGCGGCTGCTGCTGCGGCGGCGTGGCTGTCTGTCTTTGCAGCCCTGCTGGGGGTCGTTGCTGGGAATTGTCTCCGGCAAATGCATGCTTTGACCATTGAGCCGTAATAACCCGTCACACCATAAGTTGTTTGAGTCGACGTCTGTGTCTGGAGCTTGGTGATATAATGTAGACCGCACGTGCACGTACTGCACGTACACCACCGAGCACAGTCGACTCTGCCAAAGAGGGATGTCCGAAGCGTTGGTTGAGAACCCCGTATCTCGACTTGCGCGCTCATTTTCACCGGACCTGAACGGGGAGAGGTAGGTTGTGCGGAACCAGATGAATCCCGCTGCAGGCCGGTCAGCCAGCTGCCCTTTCGAAATCCCCCCAAACAAAGAAGATGGGAGAGAGAGCAAAACGGCAACGTTGCCTGCAGTCCGTAGCGATGGCGGCCAATGTCGAGACCTTAACTATTCGAAAATACCGGGTAGTTGCAACACACCAGGAACCCAGTTCCCCTCGTCACCTGCCCTAAGAGGTGCGCCTGTTCCGGAAAAGAACGGCGTCAAAAGTTGCTCGAGGAAAATCCAACCCCTAGAAGCCGCGAGAGGCTCTCGTTTTACGCGCAACCTCTGTTCGAAGCTCGTAGCGTAGTAGGTGCACACTTGCGTGCAAACTGCGACCGATAGGCAACTACTGCTACCCTGTAGTGTAGTGACGGGAAGAACAAAGTGTCGCCGGCGCCTCTCTCTCTCGTCGTTCCCACCACTCCCTCTGTCCCACTGCGGGCATTATTCAACGCAGAGAGGGGGCACGGTGTGCAGAGAGAGCCTGTCTAACCTACATGCCGTCGGCCTCGTCGTAGTCTTCCAGCAGCTTGCTGGAGATCAAGTCGGCGATGTGGCGGCGGTTCGTCTCGAAGAAGTCCCGCAGCTCTAGCATGCGATTTCTGTTCCTAGTCCTGTGTTTCGTTTTCAGATATAAGTTGGCGCCGCCGGACAACACGCCAGAGAATGGGTGGGTGCAAGTGTGTGGCGGGTGGTTGTGCGACGGGTTGCGTACTTGTTCGGTGTGTTTACACTATCGACGAACCCACCCCCTCTTCTTCGCGGAGCCACTCGCTCGAAGAACGACAAGGATGGGGGGTCGGCGTATGCATCTTACGGTCTGTGGACGGACCATCGGCCGCTAATCACTTCAATGGTCAAGGACAACGGTCCGGAAACCGTTCATTTCCTGATTGCGGTTGATGATTGGTTCCAACACTTCACGATGTTGGATATTTCACTTTACAGCTCCCATTCGTCGTGCAATACGTGCTTCATGGTACTTCTCTCTTATGGGAACAACAGTATATTTTTCGTTGGTGGTTGTAGGGGGGGGGGTTCGGGGAGCGGTCGACTCGCTGAGAGGTCTGGCGAAGGCCTGTTGGAACACAGAGGGAGGTATTCGCTCGAAGAGGCCGGATGTTTAACGGCAATACCTGCAGAGAAAGATGACCACACGACAATAACACCGACGACAACCGCCACAGCCACAACAACGCCAACGGCGTACTTTGTTCCGAATTTCATACGACTTGGGGGCTTGAGAGCCGGACTGGACGCAATGGTTGTTTCCTCCTGTCGACTCATTGGGATGTCAAACTCGCAGCTATTAGAACCCGCGCGGATAGTACATCTCAAGGCCAGATTGAGAGCAGTGGTGGGAGGTTCAGGGTGGCTTCCGAAGTTCGGGGGCGGAACTACTGTGCCACGCGAGATATCAACAACGAGTCTGTAGTTGGATCCCATGGCATGTTTTGTCTGTCTGAGTATAGGCGTGCGTGCTGCATGTCGTGGATGCTAGGCAGTTTGCTGCCTTTCCTAATCATTGGTCAACACGGGGCGGTTCTTCGTTTCCATTTATCCCGTCCGTCACCTCTCCTCCCTCCGTCGGCTCTCGATGATGCCCGACATGGCGCGGATCTCCGCCGCCCTGGTCTCGTCCTCCCTGCCTAGAAGCTTCCCCACGTGGATGTCGTGAGAGCCCACGACTATGTTCATGCCTGAACACAGAAGAACACCGGCAAGGCAAGACATCAACCAAACGAACAATAGCCTGCAATCAATGCAGGGAGAAGAGCGGAGTACAATCTGCAGGACGTCGTTTTTCGTGGACACGTGCAAGGCTGGCTAGGTTCTACCCGACCACTTACAGAAGTAAAACCCTTATCGCTCTCAACTCACAAGTATCTCTGTCGATGAGAAGGTTCGACAGCTCGTCTGGAGCGTCATCGGGCAGCTCGTTTTTCGCCATCTTCTCCAGCATATCCTGCCATATGGCGGGGTTGGGGTGGTGCAAGGGGCGCGGCACGTGGAAGTTGGTTGCGGTTGGTGTTCAGTCCTCTGCAAAGAATGGTGTGGACCTCTACGTAAGTTGGGTACGTGCAGTAGTTCCTTTTGCTCGCGGCAAAGCGCGGGCGATCGGCCTTCAAAGAGAGATTCTATTGCTTGATGCCGGGGAGGGTGCCTAAGCAACATCAAGTTGGGCTGTTGGACTTCTCCACCCATCGCAGGCAAGCTCCCGACGAGAAAATTCCACCGCAAACGTCAAGGCTTCGGCGCTGAGGCTTCCTTGCCCAACTCCTCTCTCCCCAAACAAACGTCGAGAGATCGGCCTCTCCATTTTCGAACCATCGGGGGGGGGGGGGGGGGTGTTCCGTGCGACATGCTCAAGAGTACGGTGCGTGGTGATATACCTGGGCGAGCTGTGCCAAGGAGTTGAAGTACCCCTCCTCGTGCTCCTCGACGGCCCTGAAGAAGTTGTGCTGCATCTCGAAGCAGTGATTCTTGAACTCGGTGTAGTTGGTCTCGAACTCCCCCATCAGCTGCTCGTGCTGCTCTACCTGGTGTTGGTTTTAGATCGACCAAACAACCAGCCCGCCCCCCGGAATGTTATCTCATTCGTGCTCTTGTGGGGGTGGGACAGCTCAGGGGATTGGAGCACATGGATGGGTGTAAGGAACAGTGCTACGGTACAGGGGGTGGACCCTAGTTTTAGCTGCTCGGTGAGTAGCTCACAGCCAAAATTGAGTACCTGTGCTTTATTCAATACTCTCAAAATGTTGTACCCCACGTACAACAGCCGTTCACGACGCCTACTAGCCAATTTTTCTTGCTTTTGAAAATGAAGGGGATGTGATCACTCTAGGCGGCTCGCTACTCGGTCAACTCACCCCCCCCCCCTACCACAGCACCGCTGTAACGTGGAAGGTCTCCGCTCTACCAACGTGAAGCCAAACTTGAAATAACGTCGCGCAACGGGCAGGAGCGGTGGCGTGGTTTTCTCAACACCCTCCCATATCCTCTCCACTCCCTTGAAACATCGTACAGGGGTCGTACTAGTGATCGTACATTGTCGATTACCGGCGACAACTGGTTGTTCTTGTGTGGTTTGGCACATGCATACGCTGCCGGGTTTTTCTGATACCGCGGTGGTGGCGGCGTTGACCAACCGGAGTAGTAGTCTATGGTCCTTCGAAACCAAAGTTTTTGCCTGAAGCTGGGTCTGACCTCGTACATCTCCAGGTCCATGAGAGCGGACTCGAGCTCCTCGAGCTTGGTTTGAAGGGGAAGTAGGTCTCCCGGGTCGATGCTTTCTCTCGCGGAGAGCTCGTTGAAAGTCTGGTCGATCAGGGGCGGGGACAGGCCGCAGTTGGTTAAGAACCCTAAAAAACAA